TGCGCAATGCTTGGCTGTACGGAATGTTTTTTGTACAGTGCGGGGGGTGACAGCTGCTAGGGAGCAGGTACATATGCTTATCCGTGGGCTGTCTCTTATACACATCTAGATGTGTATAAGAGACAGAATATATATTTTGAATACTAATAAATACTGTGAAGAGAGATGAGTTGTATTATGAATGGGAATTCTAAAGATAACAACAATAATACAGTTATCACTTTACTATATATTTTGATTTATATACAGTAAAACTGATGGAACTTCAAAGTATCCAAGATATAACTGAATGTAGAAATTAAAAATCAATATTAAGGTTTGAGATAATAAATTTAAAAAAATGCTTACTTTAGTGAGCTTGCAGTTTTTGCCAGCAGGTGAGAAACCATTGAAGAATTTAACGCAACATCTGCATATCTGAACCGCAGCCAGTCAGTGCTGGCTGTTGATTGGTTGCCCAACTTAAACAGCAATAATGTGTGGTTGTAAACAGTATCAACAAACCCTTGATATCAAAATGACAGAGGAATTTGCAGTAACAGGATAGATAAATGTTATATAAATATTTATTTTTCGTACATTTATTATTCTTTGCTAATGTTATGCTATGCTTTATTTACTACTTGTCAAAATCACAATTACACTCATACTTATCATTTTAACATGTTAACTGAAATATGTTAAAGCTGTCAAAAAAACGTTTTACCTTACTAATGCTCCCTGTAATACACTTATATTTTACAGCATACCTTACCTGGACAACAGTGAATACTGTTTAACAGTAGCTCATTGGCATCTTGCAGTTTGTTCTGTCCAATCAGAATGACTGCTTTATTGTTATAAGCCTCAGCCTTAAGCCTCAATACTGGATGTTCTGATTGGTTCTCAACATTTGCTATACTAGCTGGCATATCTCCTAAAATAAGAATAAACATATTCATGTTCATCCGTTACTATTATTACCTCCGCCAAGGAGGTTTTGTATTCACTGCTGTCTGTCTTTCTGTCTGTCAGCAAAATTACACAAAAACAAATGAATAAAATAACAAATTTAGTGGAATGGTACATAATAATGGAAGAAAGACACCATCCAATTTTTGGAAGAAAAGGTCAAGGTCATGGAAATTCAATTATTTAACCTCGAGCGTAAAAGAAAATAATGGAATCGCCCCTCGTTTTCAGGCTGCACTCAAGAAAATAATGTACCTGAATACATCGGGCGATTCTATAATTCTAGCTGTACTCTCACCCATCATACACGTCCTGCTTATTGTGAGTATTCAGGCACACGTCAGTTTGCACTCAATAGAGTGACAGCTCTAGCTCATGTATTGATGTCTGTCAGAGGAACATTTAATTACTTGGACAGACCTTCACAAGTCAAATTTGGCCTACAGCATTGAGCTATGGAATTCTGCTGGAATTGAACCTAGAGCATAAGAAATAAAAGGCAGGAACTTAACCACCAATCCATGTTTATTAGTGAATCAATTTTACTTGGAGGAATGAAGAAACCTGCCAAGTTCATAACAATTTGTAGAATGAAATATTCATCTTGCCTTGGTCTAACTTGATCTTCTTTGATGAGTGTTGCATTTCTTTCTTGTGGACTCCTTGACATTTGTTGAGAAGTTTCAGTACAGAGTCAATGCAATTAAGAGCTTCCTCAACCCGATGACACCTCACCAGACAAAACACCTCCAAAAGTCTTATCTTCACATAGCTATAAAAGTTCTCATTCACGCGATCATCAGATGCTTCCAGTTGAAAATGACTTTCTGACATCTCTCTTTGACGCTTCCTTCCAGGGAATGTGCCATCATCACTTTGGTCTTCCACGGCATCCTCTTGAACTGATGAAGTTGAGGGATGCTCAACTTTTCCAGGATTAGCACAGTAAGTAGGTGGATGTGGCAGCTTTTCCTGGATTTTTTTGATAATCAGTAAGGCATCTAGTAATCGTCCTGATTTAGTTTGTGAGAGGGCAGACTCATAGTAGATCGTCACCAAAGATGGTAGCTCCTGCTGACCCGATTCACAAGCCTTATGCTAAAAAAAAATAAATGTTTAAGTTACATTCTTGAAAAAACTTTCCACTGTTAAATAAGTACTAACATTAATATTACTAACAACAATTTCAATTATTGATATTTGTAATCTTTATGGGTGTACAAACACAACTGAAGATATGAGAGGGGAAGAGACAGAGAGACAGACTGAGGACTTGATGGATGAAAAGAGCTAGAGGAAGACCAATGAGTAAGGATACAGAAGATGGTAATTAATATTCAGTTGCGGATGATTAGACACCATAAAATTAAGTAGTGATAAAAACAACGTTACTAATAACAATAAGTTACAATAAAAATATTATAAATATAGTAATGTCAAATACATTAATAATAATACATATAATATGCATCGCAGAGGTTTTACAATTACTTACTGCAGTACTAGGAACACAAGATAAGTCAGTGAGAGCTGACAGCAAATCAATGTAGTGGTCAGCAGCATCAGAAAACCTACAGCATAACAAAATATTTGTTTCAAAACACAAAAAACATTTTGTATCAATTTCTAATGAAAATTTCAAACAGAAAAAATAATATATTAATTTTAAAAGTTATAGTAAAGCCATACAAAAATTGAGTAATCTTATACCTGTACCCATTTTTTTTTATGCTGTTAACATTTTTTATGACTTTTATGTTTACATTTTATGTACTCAAAAAATACAATTTTCAATTTTACTTTGGTTGTGTTAATGATGATAAAATTATATTAACTTTGACTCTGAAAACATCCTCCCCAATCATATTCCTCCTTGTGGAGGCTGTTTCTGACTGACCTTCCAGCATCTAAACAGCTTCTTGCTAACATGTAGAAAACCAATAAGGAACTCGGTTGCCACTCAATAATGTTTTGTACAATTATCTTTGGTTTACTTTTGCCATGGGCTGCATCTAGTAAAATGGCAGGTTCTTTTTTCATCACACTTTCATTTTCTTGATGTAGAGCCTATGAAATTTAAAAGTTCAAAATTTTAAAAGTCATATTATTTAACAAAACATTGCTAGCATGTTACAAAATACCATAAGCTTAACACACATGAAAGTTATCTGTTTACATTATATGTCATTCATGACATTTGGTGTAAACACATAACTTTTGTATGCAGTGGATGTTCGTGCATACATGTGACTAATTAGTTAACAAGAATATTGTTAATAAATTTTATTCACTCAAATGTACATATTGGTCCTAAGTGTGGAGATAACATGTTACTTATGTGACTTAATATCATATTTTAATGTGGCGCCTGTTTCAAGAGCAGTGCTTATTCAAGAGAGGCACTTTGAAAAATATATATTATTGTTATTTTGTTGTTATTGTAATTATTATCATTAACTTACCATTGTAAGTAGGTGTAATGACTCAAGCTTAGCTGTCACTCTTTCCTGTTTCCCATACATGACTGACAGATTATACAAAGGTAACAGGTAGGAGAAATTCTCTTGAAGACACTGTCGTAGCAAAGCAATTGCTGCCGTTATTCTATTCTGTATGATATTTTAGAAAAATTAATGTCAGTTAACAATTTTAAATCTCTAAATTATTTCACTATTTACCACTTAAAGTAAATTCTATGATGATCCATTGACTAGTTTTTGCATAATCCTGCTAACAAACAGAAGTTAACAAATCATATTTTATTCGGCTGTGAAACAGGTGACCACAAGATTTCTTCAAACATGGCATGGTGTAAAGCTGACAAGCTACTATGTATGGTACTCTAAATACTAATAATATAAAGAACTTACTTGTTTCATAAGTGAGCATGCTAGTAAATTTGTTGCTATGGACAGATCTCTGACAGATAAAATATTGCCATTGACGACGGAATTCACACCATTAATGACATCTGAATACTTTCCTTCCCAGTACAAACAAAACACTACAATTCAGAAAAAAAATTTGTGATATTGATAATGTACTTTAATATGAGGCATGCTATTCCAAAACTAGTGTACTGTCGCTATATTTTAAACTGGTAATATTGTATACTTTAGTATAGAGAAGCCATAATACTTATACTCATAACTTTGGTATTTAACAGTAAATTAATACCAGTAAGTGACCTATCATTCCAAAACTTATAATGTGGAGAATATGAAAGTCAATTAAAAAGTTAATTTCCTTGATTTGGTCACTGATGATGGTTTTGGGATTGCAAGTTATGTTATAACATACACTGAAAATCTCATAACATTAATAAAATTTGGTCAAGAGTAGAGGGCCCCTTAACTCTCTATAAAGTTGAATAAAATAAAATATTGACTGAATGATTGATAAATGAATGATTGACTGATTTATAGATTGATAAAATGGTATGATATATTGACTGATTGAGATATTGATTGATAGATTGATTTATTGATTGATTGATTTAACAGTTGGTTTGTTTTTTTTATTTGATTGATCAATTAATATTTAAAATCACTAAACACATAAAACCATTACAACAATTAACACATTAAAAACATTAGAAAACGCCCAATTAGGATAACATTCTTAAAGTAAGCAGAAAGGGAGGGAACAGAGGCCAAATTACAAAGGAAAGAGGACGGAAGAAGAAGATAGGAAAAAAACATGACAAACAAGGAGAGAAGACAAATATAAAAAATAATTTAATGATTGATTGGTTGGTCATTCAATTGGTTAAAACAAGTACTTAAGCACTTACTACTCCAATACCAAGCTGATACAGCTAAGGAACTTCTATCCAGCTCAATAGGCTTCATGAGAGAAGTCATTCCCTTCAGGCGATTTCCTTTGACCGAGTGTACAACCGCATGCAGGACTTTCAAAGCATATATACCATAACTATTACAGATGCTGTCTTTAGATGTTTGTATTTCTTCTTGAACATTAACTGAACCACCTGGCAGAAACCTAAAATGAACCTAAACAAATAATTTGAAAAATTATTTATTTGAGAATACTGATGATAAAAACGACGATGATGATGATGATGATGATGATGATGACGATGATGATGATGATGATGATGATGATGATGATAAAAGATGGTGATGCCAAGTTATGTGTTGTACAACTGATTTTTCTAAGACACAAAAAGGGTTATTTGTAGCCTGGGTTCCAGGCCCTAATTTTAGGTTACTCACTCTTTATTGCACTTAGTGCGCGCCATACCTAATTTAATTGGCGTCCCATACTCGATTTCTTTTTTTTCGAATTAGGGCCTGGGCAAACGATTCATGCGTGCAATTTCCCCTTCCCACATCAAATTTGATGTGGGATATCGTATGCATGACTGATTTTGTAAATCACGTGATTGGCTAACTTCATGCATATTAATCAATCTTGGTAAATTTTCAAAATTGAAGATGCGGATGTCTCGACTCGAACAAGCTCCAGCTCCCTTTTGGCTACCTACTTGAATTAAAACAGTTAGTATAATAGTTCTGGCCTGCTGAGAACGACATGGACTGATAACCGTAGGCTATAGGCCTACTTGGAACCTTGCTCACCATGGGATGGCAAGTTATGTTATAACGTACTCTGAAAATCTCATAACATTAATAAAATTTGGTCAAGAGTAGAGGGCCCCTTAACTCTCTATAAAGTTGAATAAAATAAAATATTGACTGAATGATTGATAAATGAATGATTGACTGATTTATAGATTGATAAAATGGTATGATATATTGACTGATTGAGATATTGATTGATAGATTGATTTATTGATTGATTGATTTAACAGTTGGTTTGTTTTTTTTATTTGATTGATCAATTAATATTTAAAATCACTAAACACATAAAACCATTACAACAATTAACACATTAAAAACATTAGAAAACGCCCAATTAGGATAACATTCTTAAAGTAAGCAGAAAGGGAGGGAACAGAGGCCAAATTACAAAGGAAAGAGGACGGAAGAAGAAGATAGGAAAAAAACATGACAAACAAGGAGAGAAGACAAATATAAAAAATAATTTAATGATTGATTGGTTGGTCATTCAATTGGTTAAAACAAGTACTTAAGCACTTACTACTCCAATACCAAGCTGATACAGCTAAGGAACTTCTATCCAGCTGAATAGGCTTCATGAGAGAAGTCATTCCCTTCAGGCGATTTCCTTTGACCGAGTGTACAACCGCATGCAGGAGTTTCAAAGCATATATACCATAACTATTACAGATGCTGTCTTTAGATGTTTGTATTTCTTCTTGAACATTAACTGAACCGCCTGGCAGAAACCTAAAATGAACCTAGACAAATAATTTGAAAAATTATTTATTTGAGATGATGATGATGATGATGATGATGATGATGATGATGATGATGATGATGATGATGATGATGATGATGATGATAAAAGATGGTGATGCCAAGTTTCGGAGGGAAAAAATGTCTGATATGTTGTACAACTGATTTTTCTAAGACACAAAAAGGGTTATTTGATGAAAAACTCAGAAACGGTTGATAAGACACAGATTTTTTGAATAAAAAAAAGTGGGGGAAAAAGGTGGAAAAAAGGGTGGTGACATGGACACAGAATGGCCCTTTGGGATGGGACTGAGGTAAGAAATTTTATGGTTATGGCACCTCCAGATGGCCGGAAATGAATTTGTAATAAGAATTCAAATTGAGGATATTTACCTTTTCAGTTTTGCTCAAAATAGACATGTTCCTGCTGACAACATCCAGCAGGCAGACAGCTCCCTCTATGTTCCCACTAGTCAGGTGGCACACACTCTGAAGACAACCAAGTAGCAGTAAAGGTTGTCTAAGTTCAGCACCTTTAATATAAAAAAAAAATGTGTGCAAAAAGCTGGGTTTTTCCAGAGTTTCATAAAAGAAATAATTTTTTTTTCTTTCTTTCAGTAGGCCATATGCATTTACATGCATTTATAATCAGCCATAATATAGGAAAGGTAAAATGGGATACAGTCAGAAAGATTCTCTTTCCTTGCAGTGGCATATCTGGAGGTTTTAACATGGGGAGGGGGGAGGCCTGGTGGAAGCACGAAAGTTAAGTGTGGCTTGATGTTTATGTGAAGGGGAATGATTTAGCAAGGTAAAATGAGGTGATTCATAACTACTTGAGCGTAATTTGCATGTTCTGCAAACATTTCTATAGGGGTGCAAGTTTCTTTTTAGGCCAGGATGCACCACCAAAGATACGCCACTGTTTCCTTGGGAACACAATCATTGTGACTAGCTTCTGAGTTGTACACTTCATCCCTTAATTGAAAACCTAAGTCCGATTTCTATGAAACCTGTTGACTACATTCATATAAATGGCTTCTTTACTTACCAGATAGGCTACATGAGACAGCTTTGACAAAATAGTCTTCGGTGTTTGAATCAACAATTACCACATTGGCAGCACGGCAAACTGAAAACAAAATTTCAAAATCAACAATTGATGGTAATCAACAGAGTGTGAGAAAAAATATAACAAAAGGGTCATTTCCATGTCAAATCAACGAAAAATTTTCATCAACGTCTCAGATTTTTTTTCATAGTTTCGGGTTTGATTAGTACCCATGAGAAACGGCCAAAATTTTAATTTATCGCTCAACACCGCATAATCAGTGAGATACGCACTAACAAACTTTGAGCTAATTAGTGCTACCTCGTGAATTAAATTGTCAATATCTCAGGAAGTATACCACCTACAGAGCTGGTTTTGGTATCATTTTGAAACTATTTAGCAGCCCTAAACATTGGTTAGTAAACAAGGTATATTCTTTAAATAAACCATATATGATTACTGTATATAGATCGAAGTTGTACAGAAAAAATATATTTTTAATTTTTTTTTCAAGTCAGGGATACCTTACAAACTTTCCTGCAAATTTGGTGATGGGCACTCTAACAGTTCTTTAGCAGTGAGCAATTATATATTCAAAAATCAACAAATTTTGAAAATTATTGTACCATTACGCCTATAAATAAGGTCCGGCGATACAGGGCAAAAATAATTTATTTACTTATTATTGGTTAGGTTTTGCATAGCACATAATTAAATTGTTTTATTTCAGACAATGTCCATACACAACAAAAACCAAGACAAAAGAGAATATGTGCAGATCTATGTGACTTACTGAAAAAAACTGTGTACAATCAATTATAAGCCTCTTTGAAATAATAATACATGGTCTCTATATACTAAAGTCTTTAGATAAGATTAAAATTTGAATATAGGTCTCCCTCTAATTAAAGACCACTACAATTAAAGACCACTACAATTAAAGACCACTACAATTAAAGACCACCTCCAATTAAAGACCACTTTTCTGTGGTCCCATATTAACTCATGCCTTAAGGGTGGTATACCTGTAATAAATGTCTTTTATCTTTATTATGCTAATTAGAGGCCAAAGCTGCTAAAGACCATGGAAACCCCGGTCCCAAAAGTGGTCTTTAATTGGAGGGAGACCTGGCTTACCTCTCAGCCAAGTACTGTTGATTGAGTCAATGATTGTGTTTATACCACAAAGATTTCCATTGCACTGGTATTCTTTGTAAACAAGGAGGTAGTAGTTAAAAGTTAATGCCAACTCAACTGGTAAAACATGCCTTGAGGGCGGTATACCTGTAACAAAAATCAGACATATGACATACAACAATCATTTTTAAAATATTAATTAGATGAGGATGATGATGATGATAATAACATAAAATAAATAATATATATAACTAAAAACAATAATAATAATAATAATAATAATAATAATGTAATTCTATTATCAACACCAATTATTGACACCACTCTCATCATCATCGTTTTCATCATTGAATTTATCGTAATTGTCATTGTCGTCATTGTTATCGTCAAAATCATCATCATCGCTGCCGTTGCCATCATCGTCATCATATGTTTTTAAAACCCATGTTTAAGGAAAGTGGCCCATCCAGCAAAGCTGATCATTTGGGGGCCTTCTTGTCATCATCTCCCCATTATTGATGTCATCGATTGTTATCCATATTTGTCACTCAGCATCAGCATTGGTGGGTTGGAATCGAACCAACAACCGCCACATAACCAGTCTCGTATCATCTAGTGGTCAAACATTTTTTTGTTATTTTTCAATAAGCTGAAATCCATGGTTAAGGCAGTAAATATTTAAACATCATACAAATATTTCTGTCTCCTCTTTATAAAAAAAATTATATAATTAATAAGTTTTCCAAAAGTAGACAAAAATGTCAACCCTTGATATATCCAATATTTTGGGTCAGTTGATCTGAGGCAACAAAACTGATTAAACTCACCCTTAACCTGACAGAGTAAGTTGTTTAGCTCACTCTGTAATTCCTTGTGACAAGTCTGACAACACTAAAAAATGGAAACCAAAATATTTATTTATTAAAGCAAAATATTAATATCAATGTAATGTATGATATATAAATTTGCTATAATGCATAAACACATTTTCAATGCGCTAGTATAATGCTTGCAAAATTCATGGAAATTTAGAGGATGGGATTATACTGTACAGATGTGTATAAGAGACAGCCCCATTATTGATGTCATCGATTGTTATCCATATTTGTCACTCAGCATCAGCATTGGTGGGTTGGAATCGAACCAACAACGTTTGCGCCACCCGACTACATTACTAAGCTAGGCCTGTCGCCTAGGTAGATAGACTAGAGCCTGAGGCCTAAAGAAGCAATAGGCTCGACCTACCTTCCTAGCCTAGCTAGGCCTATCATACAGGGGTCTGGCCTACCTAGGCGGCTAGGGATCCGGTGGGTGCCTAGCTAGGATAGCCGCCAGGCCTAGGCCGCACGGCCTAGGCTAGCCTCTAATCTAGGCCTAGGCCTAGCTGGACTTTTTTAGATTTTGTCTATTAATTATTAAATCCCTGTCTCTTATGTTTAGATTAAATTGAACATCAGTTATCTTACTTTCATCATCAATAAATTATAGACCTACTCTAAAGACCAATTCAAAAAACATTTTTATCAACATCTCCCGTTTGCACAGATATGGATTTCGTGAGGGAATGTTTTTGTATTTAGCGCCCCCTTGATGGAAATAGACCACCTGGTAGGTCACGTGCATAACAATAAACCGAAAATTATTAATAATATCATTTTCATATGATGATGAGTTATTTTAAAGACATAGAAGCATACTACAGTACAGTATTACCACATCAATAATTATTCGGCAATTTCTAATGAATATTTTAGAGGTGTAAAAAAAAAACTCTTTCAACTTATCCCTAGGACTACCCACAATTCCAATCGATTTAAAATGGAGTCCTACATATGGAGAACTGAAAGTTGTGTTGTCCCGTATTAAAACTTTTGTTGATATTCTGTGAAAATGGATATGACAATCAGAGAGCGAACGAAATCTAAAAACTCTCTCACCTGTTTAATACAGGCACTTGAAGGTAAAGTTACCACAATTGAACTTCGAAATGAGTCTGAAGTGTATGGTGAAATAGAGAGTGTTGATGGGTACATGAACGTTCAAATGAAACATGTTGAATTTACGGACCAAGATGGCAACTGTTCGTTCCTGGAGAATCTACACGTTCGTGGACGCAACATTCGATATGTTCACATCCCAGATGATGTCAATATTCTGGGTTCGATTAGGAAACAACTCGGTGCCATTGAACGATCTTTTGGAGGACGGCGTAACCGAGGAGGTCCAGGTGGTAGAAAGCCAAGGCAAGGTCAGGTGGGCAACGACAGATGACTCGATGATGAAGTACTGCGAAAGAAACATTTGTCTCTTCAAGCTAATACTGTACAATGCAATATACAAGATAAAATATATTTTCTCCAATAAAAAAAAACCCAAGAAATTAGAGAGAACTGTAAGAAGTATATTACAAGATGCATTTTAAGATTACTATGCATACAGACTAGCGATGATGATTATGGTCTAAAAAAAACATTCCGATCATGAGATGTCTGAATTTTTGGATTGAAAACAAAAATTTTGTGGTGGATGTCATGACTTTGTTTTGCTAGGTTTTTCTGACTGACGGTGATGTTTCTCTGTTATGTTCCATGATACTGATTTTTGATAACATTTATTATTATTTTATGTATGATATTTTTTGTTAACTAATTAAATTAAATAGAGTAGATATTTGTGCTTGAAATTATAGAATTATAAATTTCATGTTACAGCTGTAGAGAATAAAGCTTTACAATACAGTATATATTGTTGTACCTCAGTGGTGGATCTTATAACTGTGTGCTGGTGATCAGGTGTTACTGGGGTTGGTCAGTACTGTATAATTCCAAGGATTATCATGCATCTACTAATAAATCAAATTGCAAATTCATACTTTTTTTTTCATGTTTATTTTGTTTTCATCTGACAGGAAGTTCACAAATAGCACCAAATCTAAAAAAAGAATTAAGATTATTTTCATATTGACATATTTTTCAAATTTCCTATTTTATTATTGTATAACCTTTTTACTTTAAATTATTTTGTAATAGCCTGGCCCGTGGAAGAACAGCTTTCTTTCCACAGACATACATTGATGTTCTGGTCCCAAAAAATAACTAAACAAAGCATTAGCCATTTAAGACATATAATGTCAAAATGATAATCACATTATAACTACAGTACAGTACTGCATATAAAGCGGTAAAGTAACTGTAAATTAAAAAAAACAAACAAACAAAAAACAAACCGGTTTTAAAATAATTTTCATGTTTACGTTTTTTTTTTATTTTGCTTTCTGGTTTTATCGTTTTACCATTTTTTCTGAATGTATCATTACGCCAGATTAAAAAGGTGTTTGATAGCAGACTAATCAAATACTACGAACATTTGCCAAATTAGTGATGGACGTACGGAAACAGACAAAAGTACTAAATTCTGAAATTTATCGTAGGCCTAAACCCATAAATAAACGCCCAGAACAAACGACTTTTCCATCAGGATCTTTGGTTAAATTGTTTCTAGAAAGCTCGTATTTGTCATATTACTGATAAATTATTGTAAAAACTAAGAAAAAGTGGCCCGTTTTCACAGCTACCGTATTATCGTGTACCTGTAATTTAAGCAACTCATATTTTGCATTAAAGACGAATTATTAGGTGCTATGGAATCTTATTTACTGCATTTTGCTAGCTTGAAAAGTCTGATAATGGAGGATTGTAATATGCACATGCACCAAACTAATGTGCACAAAATGAATAGAAAAATCGTTCTCATTAGAGACATACATTCCCTGCAATATTTGTATATAACTTGTATTGTCCTTTTAGATGAGGTAATCAATGTTTTAATTGAGCTTTAAGGTGTATTTTTTCAATGACAGTAACCAGATACTGTATAGGCATATAATTAATTAAAACAAATCTCAATAACTATACAAGAATCATGATTCTCCATAAATCATTTGCAGCCACTCAAAATGATGGGCGATAGATTTTACAAAATGAATGGTATGATAAATCTTATAGACAAACATTTAGCAATCTAGCATTTCCAACTATTAAATGGAAATGATACAATAGGCCCATGGTAATGATAACATAAGAATAGCAAATTATGATATTCATGATGATGATAATAATAATAATAATAAGGATGATGACGATAATTATGATAATAAGTAACTTTATTATGATTAATGAAATTATTAATAACAATGGCAATAATAATATTGATGATGATGATGAAATAAAAGTGAAGATAATGATAATAATGGTAATAATATGTTCAAGTTTATTTTATTGGTCATATTATAGTAATGAATACAATACATGAAATTTTCTTCTCCGGTACAATGATTAAAAATACTAATATTATACTAAAATATAGATACAAAGCACAGATTACACAGAATAACACACTAATATGGAAAAATAAATAGAGCAATAAATAAATAAATAAAATAGATTATATCAGTTTGTGGGCTTTGGACGATATTTTAATAATAATAATAATAATAATAATAATAATAATAATAATAATAATAATAATAATAATAATTAATAATATGATTTATATAATAGCGCCTTTCGAAATGATCAAGGTGCTTCACAAGGACATCAGTTAAAACAGTTATGATTTTACAATAATTATAGTAAGTTAGTGTTCATATACAATACCACCAGCAGCAGCAACAGTAACAATGATATACGTGCACTAGACTAGAGTAGTCATACCAATGAATTCCCCGCAACTGATGAGTAATACGGTACCGTGAAGCTAAGCATAAGAAATTTCTGATGGAAAGTGTTTTTCTGTGATGGTTGAAAGTGTTTTTATATAAAAACGGAAATTTCTCATTCATTTAGTATTACTTAAGTAGTAGTAAATATAAGAACAAAACACTTAAATTTGACCATCCTGCTTTACATGTTCTTATATGGAACCCACAATACGTCACATCTAACATTTTAAGTGCAGTTGCTTAGAACTATTGTAAAAAGTGTCCACAGTACAAAGGAAGGGATTGAACTTAATTGAAATTCCCTGTTGACCTATCGAATCACTTCAAATGGAACCGACCGCAGGTACTGACTTGGAAAGTAGTTGTTTTTGACTTAATTACCAAGTAGAATTGTGGTGTTATATTTAAGTACATTTCTTTTTATCCAAGTTAATTAGTAATAACACCTGCGTGAATAGGTTATACCTTGTTGGACATCCGTTATCAATTGTTGGAGATTTACAGACACTGAAGATATTCAGCACTCTTTAAAAACTAAAGGAGTCTGGATTGGAGTTGTAAGTTCTTTCTCAAACATGATTTTCTGTCAAGTATTTGTTAGCGGTTTTTACTTCTATGGCAGAGGATAAACCATGATAATGCTAATAGCGACTTTAGTACAAGCATCCAGGTGTGTGTTCATTCATTAAATCCCGGAGCGAGCCCTCTGGCTAAGCTTAGATATTCAACTATCACTACTATACTCCGAGTAACTTTATGTTTCTTGCATGCCATCGTGTTTTTTCTGGATTTTTTGTTTTTGTTTTTGTTTTTGTTTTTTTTATATAGAAAAGGTGGGTAGGGGTAGCGTAGGAATCACATGAAGTGACCCATAACCACACACGTTACTTTCTTTTAAAACGGAACATAATTAGTTGTTTTTTTTAGACTGACATTTTATTAAGCAAAAATTCCACCAACATTACGATAAATGTTTCTTTACTCCTCAATTCATTATCATTATTTCCTGGCATTATTGAAATACATATCGTTACGGTCAAGACACGCGCAACTAGCAGATTAATACAATGTAATTCCTGGTTTTCATGAATTTTCTATGTGAATTCACACTTCTTTTAAACAAATATCAATTCCCGACCCAAAGGTGTTATAGCCGGGCTTCACATACACACAGAAAAGTTCCAAATAACGAAGTAAGGGCTGATAGAATTCACAGAGATTGAATAACGATTCAATTATATGAACAATAATTAGACTACCACGTATTGCTGCTATTCTACTGTGAAGGGGCCCTCGTCCACTTTCATGATACTCGTAACTGAATAATAAAATGTGCACGGGGCCCAAACACTATCTCGCCCCCGAGTCCCTTGACTCGCAGTTACGCCACGATGCCTAAAACACGCCACACTCTGCTACCGACGGTCTCGTCGGCTGATACGATTCCTACTTAGAGAACGCAACGCGACGACGCGCGTGCAACGGATCCCTTTTATTGACTATTGCTAGAATGCCTTCGACGATCAGCAGGCGACGTCAAGCTCTCATAGAGAGCGGGCATGTATTCGTCGGCCGACGGTCTTATGACCATCGTACAAGGTAGTCTGTGCTCGGCTTGATTGTATAAATTTGTATTAATTTGATGATCTTATTATTAATTAATTATCATTATTTTTATTATAAAGTAATACACAAACGACATTTTCTGCAACAAAGACGACATGTTAGCAGTTGTATCACCTGCCAAAATTCAAATTGTTATAAAAAGCAATTAATACCATCTTATCCAGGTTCATATATACAAAACATGAAAGAAACCAAAACAGTATAAGCGGATTTTGCTGGCCTACTAATCCGATAGGCTAATTGCTTTGATTCTTATTAATTGCATATGTTTATGATATGCTCGAATAAGATGGCGACAGTTTTTCAATTGTTTCATGCTTGATTCATTTAATACTGCAAGCTTCATTGCCCGATCTGGATATTATTACATAAATCGACGAAAGCTGCAGTTGATGATGTTAAGATTAAACAGAATTATAATCTAGCAATTTGTTTTGGACTGTTACAAAAGTTGAATTTCCTATTATAGGCCTGTATTACTATATTTAATGTATTTTGGATGAAGTACGAAGCGTATACACACCATAGCACACAGAGCCACTGTCGTGCATTGCTAAACTAAACTACAGTTCACCCTCCAATTTTAGACCACTTTGGGACCTGAAAATTTAGGGTGGTGTCTGGGTTCGGTCGCCACTTAGAGGGTTACCGGTAGCTTTGTGTTAAAAGATTGACGATTGTTCTTTTCAAATTAAAACGGTATTTATTTTAACATCGTTTACATAGTTGAATTTGCCCTATCATACTTATGATTTGTAACTAAGCCTACACACCTTAAAAATTGTTACCGGACTTATTGTAATTAATGATTACAAAGTCATATACTGTGGTCAGGCAACATTATGAGCATAGGTGTGTTTCATTCAGGTGGTCCACTATCCACTTTTTATTTTACTCAATTGTACATAATCATTTAATAATTATAAAAGGAAAATTATTATCATCGTAGAAAAAGAAGAAAGAAAGAAACATAGCTTAAATCTAAGAACATGTGAATGCAAATTTGCGTTTCGCGCGTGCACGTCTGTGGAGAGCAAAGAATGAACACTTTTAAAATGGCGGTTATTGTTCTTCCACAGGGGCCCGGATAAGGATTTTGAGGAAGATATGAAATGAACTACATCACGATTCTAAAATATAGACTTGTAGACTCTAATAAGAAATTTAAGGAACTATGAACGATAACAAAATGTTTGCAAACTTGGCATTCTTTTTTTTTCATATAATAATTAATATATTGTATTTTATTATGATGTATTACATGATTCTGAATAACTATGATGTATTATGTGATTCTGAATAAATGACCATCGTTTAACGAGAGAAAAAAAATGCTTGCAAATTTTATGAATTCGGGTTCGACTGTAAAGAAGATGTTGATGAGGAGGATTATAATGATGATGACGGTGATGATGATAAAGATAACGATAATGATGATGTTAGGCCTAATTACTGAGTCGATTCTGATGATATGATGACGATAATAAAAATAAGCGTTCAAACGTGATTAATTGACTACAGGT